CCTCCCAGCCCAGCAGGGTGACTGCACGACGTCTCCGCAGGCTTTTGCTCCGTTCTTTCTGCGCTTGGCCGATGTCTGCATCCAGGAAACCAGAGGGTGCCTTGGGCTTGGAGTGGGCATGTCCCTGGCTGGGCACTATGCAGGAAGCAGCACCCCAACCTCCGGTGTCCCCACACAGGGGGACATTTCCCCAGGATCCAAAACCCTTCCGAACAAGCCGCTCTCGGCCTGCACTGTGCACTGGTGAGGGCTTGGACAGGGAGGCTCTGGGAGATGCCTCCTGGAGAAAGGAAGGTGAAACGTGTGGTGGTGGCTCCTTGTTCACGGCGAGGACCAAGCCCAGCGTTTCCACCAGCCCTGTCCCACGTCCAGAGGTGGCATTTGCCATCAGGACACAAACACTAGAGGCTGATCTGGCAGCTGTGCTGAGCCAAGGCCACCCGGCTGTCACTGAACTGAGACCTTGCTCTGGAGGTGACGCTGTGGGAAGGCAGCGGAGAGGAGGAGGGATACAGCTGATGGCAGAACAGAGTGGCCTTGCGCAGGGTCAGGCAACATCTGCGTGCTTGGGGCTGCTGCTACGTGCAGCTCTTTGTAACCCAGAGCTTGTGCAACGCCACATCCCAACTGATGGAGCAGGTGGGACTTGGCCCCAAGGTCTTCGGTCTTCATTCCCTCAGCCTTGGTGGGAGCAGCCCGGGGCCACGGTTGAGTGGCAGCCAGGGAAAGGCCCACTGAGGTGGGGGTTGGTGGGACAGGGGTGCATCTACCCCGGGAGAGGGTTGGATGTGATGTTTTCAGGCAGCACTGCCAGCAGCGGGGACTGCCAGAAAGTGTCTGAGCCCAATGGCCACAAGGAATACCCTGGAAAAGGCTGGTTTGTGAGGGAGGTTCAGCCCCAGGAGAGGAACGTCGGGGCTGCGTTTCTGCTCCTATTTCTGCTCCTTTCCTTTGCTCCTGCTCCACTCCCAGCAAGACCTGTCTTCTCAGGGCCTCTCTGCTTTCTGACACTCTTTTCTTAGCAGGACTCCCCGGGATTTCAGGAGGGATTCTCAGCACCTGAGGGGTGACCGTGGGGCCAGAGGGCGT